ATATATATAGTTGTATATACATTTATATACATATATATATTTACATATGTATATATATGAATAAATGTATGAAAATGCGAATTCGATGTAATTAAATAAATAAAAATATGTGCATTTATACGTTTGTATGTGTGCCTCTATACCACATATACTATATAGTATATATTTAAATATATAGTGTATGATATAGCTATATCCATGCTGTATATAAGTGTATATCTGGACATAGATTTTCAAAATGTATGAAGAAAGAAGATTTTCAGATTAACATAAAGAATACCATCTCTGTGGTTTCAAGTGTGCTTTCAAGTTATGTGAATTAATACACATTACACGACATATAGATGAGTTTTCAATAGGCACATATGTGCACACTTCCAGACCTACGTACACAAGTAGCTCTGAGCATGAAAAATAGTTGCGGGGTACGAATAATTTACATTCAGATAAGGAAGCCAACTGACAGCCAATTGACAAGTGCCAAAATCATGTGAACGCAATAGATGGCATATATGAATATACTACTTACAAAGCTCGTGCGAAATGAAACAGTAGACTAATTATAGTCCCGTACAACTCAGACTAGAGTCAACAACACGCCCATCAAATATGCCGCTGAAATCAATTTAAGTTTGACGACTTCAATTGCGTGAATTGTATACCTGAGGATCCATCGTGTTGGTGTATATCGCTGTCTCAAATTATATAGTAGAAGGCTGGTTGTTGTACTTGTTCACGTATATGGCTCAGGCCCACTTCTCCTTAATTAGAGATAGTCGTGGAAGGCTTCCTGTGCTGCTATTCAGATGTGTTTGTTGCGACACATCACCTTGTGTGAACTATTGTCGAACTCGTAAAGTACCACTATCGTAATCCTCGAGATATGAACCGTATGGTGCCTTCAGTTTACACTACCCGGTCTACCACTACCACGCCAGATCACAGTACTGGATCGCAGTTGGAGATGTACACACACTGTATACTGTACTGAGTGTACAGTCTGTCGTCAA